CGACTTCGCTTGCGGCGACAATAACAAGAGGCTCCGCACCACAAAAGAGCGGGCAGGCAATGGGGAGGTAGGAGGAGGTGTTCGAACATATCCGTGCTCCCAGTCCTTGTTGTCACGCTGTCTGGGTCCGCTTGTCACCGTCTTCTTACTGCTTGTTTGGGCCGACCGGCGCGGGCTCTTGCACCCCCCTCCCCCGCCCGCGCCCCCGTCGAGCAGATCTTGGCTGCTTGTGGCGCCTGCTTCGAGCAGGTGGAGCCCTCCCGCAAGCAGCCGCACTGGTTGAGCAGAGAGCCAGCGCGTCCCCCTCCCGCCCACCTCCCCCCCTTCCGCCCACTGTGTCGTGACGCCGCCGGAGAGGGAACGTTCACCTACAGCGCATCGGTCAGCGCCTGCGCGAAGAGCGAGCAGTGGCAGCGGACCCTGGCGCTGCTCGGCGAGGCGAGGGAGGCGAAGCTGGAGCCCAACGCCGGCTGTTCGCGCTCGCTCAGGTGTCACGCGGTGGAGCCAGGTGAGCGTCAGCCACGCGCGGAGGGGGGTGGGGGGAGGGGGGAAGGCTTCTTGGAAGCATCCCTGCTTCTTAGAAGGCGCGGGCCTTCTCTATAGATGCAAGGCCGGCGCCTTCGAAGAAGCAGCCTCCTTCTAAGAGGCCCTCCCCCCTCCCTCCACCTCCTTGTGCGCGCCGCCATGAGCAGCTGTCTTGGACCACGCCTATCAAGACACCAGGAAAACCAACCCGAGACCTGCCCACGACAGCTCCAAGGTCGTCCGAGACGGCTTCAAGATGGCCCCCACCCCGAGACGGTTTCAAGAGCCGCGATGCGTGCCCCAGACCCTGTTTGGCCCCCAACATTTCCCCAAAATTGTTCCCCAAGAGGCTCCCGACAGGCACCGAGGTGGCCCTTCCGAGGACAAGGACGTTGAGAAAACAATGAGATGCTCCCTGTGCTTTTCTGGCGGTCCAGTCGGCCCCGGCTCCCGCCATGGTAGACCCAAGAGCTGACACGCATTCAGCTTCTCCCCAACAGCCTCCCGACTGGCTCCCAAGAGGACGCAACGACGATCCCATGAGGCCTCTGAGAGGCCCCAACGTATCTACAAACATCGTGCGTTCAACACGTCGTGGACACCTCGCTTGTCTCGATCAAGATGAGTCCAGATGAGCCCGCGATGATGAAATATTATTTCAGAGGCGGCTCCTAGATCACCCCCAGACAGCCCCGATCTGGCTGAAGAGGACCCAGGGCGGTCCCAACAGCCGCCAGATACCAGCCCCCAGCTGACTCCGGCATTACCTCCGGACGGCCCTTTGACGTCCCCGGCTCCGGCCAATATGGCCCCCTTCTTGTCTCTGCTTGCCAGCGAGCTGCAGCGTCGCGTGCACGGCCTGCGCTCATGTGTTTTGCCTGGTCGCTCTGAACGCCCAGCGCGCATCGTCGGTCACCCTTGACGTGGTAGCTGCCTGTGGGGCGTCCTCGCGGAAAAGCACCCGCCAAGATGGCCCCAAGATCCTGACAGGCCCCCCCAGGCCCCCGGTAGCCCCCCATTGTTATCCTGAGGATCCCCCACAAGGCTCCGTAGAGGCCCCTTGAGAGGCCAGTTCGTTGAACCCTGAGGCCGCAGTACTCCGCTGCAAGAGTTACATCTTGTGACTGCGCAGCCTCTCTTTTTTCCCTCCGCGGTCGCGCTTTTCCCCTCTCTGCATCCCCTCTGGTGCACAATTCGCCCCGCTGGCCCAGCATTAGCTTGGCCGATTCGATCGTTCGTCGAGTCTGCGACCAAACACCTCTGGTAGGAAAATCCTGGAGGCCTCGCGCGGCGCGCAATAGGTGTATCCTCGAGTCCACACGTCCGCTCCGGAAGACCTGGGACGACGTTCGCGCCGCAGTGTTCCGACGTGAGTCCCACGTGATTCCGACGCGATTCCGACGTGCAGCCGACGCAGTCCGACGGGAGCCCGACGTAAATCCGACGTGGATCCGACGTGCACTGGGTCTCAAGTTGCGGCGTGAGGCCTCGTGCACTGGGCTTCCCTCATGAGCAAAACTGTGCGCTGCCGAGATCGCCCGCGTGCCGCAGGGGAGGGCCGGAGAGGTCTCCGAAGAGGCCCTGCCCGGCAGAGGGCGCCGAACAACGGGAGCGTTCCAGTGTGGTCTGCGGCCTTCCGGCCCCCGGCTGGCGCAGGGAAGGCCGCCGAGGGCCGCAGAGTGCCCCAGGGCAGCTCCGAGGCGGCCCAGGGCCCCCCCCCCCCCGAGGGCTCCGAGGGCCCCGCGGCCGCTCCCAAGGCCGCCCAGCACGCCACTCGCACGGCGCCGGGCCGCCGCGCGAGGGCCCCTCGGAGGGCCTCTCCCGGGCGCGCCCCCGAGCGGCCCCGGAGAGGCCCGTCGAGGCCCCCGCGGGTGCTGCGCGAGCGGGCCCGCCGGGCGGCCAGGGAGGGGCGCAGGAGGCGCTCCGGCAGGAGCGAAGAGGCGGACTGGAGAGTTGTGGAAGTCGACGAATCGATCGGGGGTGGACAGACCTCCTACCCTGGCACGTCGATTCGTGAATTGCCCTTGCGCCCGCCAGGTTTGGGCCCGAGGTCGTTTTCACTAAACGACGTTTTACCAAAGGGAGGTCTGTCCATCCCCAAATCGGGTGTTGCCAGGAGTGCCCCTGGCCCAAGGTGCCCCCAGGATTCTTGGGGTGGCCCAAGCGGCCTCCAGAACACCCTTCATGAGGCCCAGGGGGCCCCAGGGGTCCCAAAATGGAGCGAAAAGCTGGGGGCACCTTGGGCCAGGGACACTTCTAGCAACACCCGAAGTAATGAAGAGGAAACATGCTGCCAAATAATTGCCAGATGTCTAAAAGATGTTTCAAGCATGTCTTAAAGATGTTTAAGACGTGTTTGACACATGTTGAGAACATAATTTGCATATTTGAATCACATCGTTAATTCAATGATAGGACTGTTAGGGTGTCCATTGTCGTGGCATCCACAAGACTAGAGAGGCCTCAGGCTGGCCCCCTCGCGGCCCAGGAGGCTCCGAGCGCGTTCCATTGCTCATGGCGGCAAAGTCGCAGAGTGGATTTCGTTCGGAAGACGGCAGGATGGGCCAGGAGCGTCGCGGAGAATTTCGTTCTGGATTTCGAGGCGAATTTTGTGCGGATTTTTTTGGGCCAGGAATGGAGACAACAAAAAGATCCACGCGAAATTCACTTCGTTTTCACTCGCCGTTTCGGGGTTTTGCATTGGCAGAGATCCACGCAAAAATTCGTTGCAGCACGTCTGCAAAGTCGGTGCAGTGACACTACGCGCAGAGTGCCTGCTCGCAAACGTTCGATCAAAAACCAAACATTATCAGGGTCGAGAACCAATTTTAGATCGGGTATAGCCAGGACCCCAGGTAAGGGGACCGGGTTAGTAGTAGGGCCCCGGAGCCCTTAAATCGGCCAGAATCAGTAAACCAGGTCTGCCGTAGCCGCTGTTTTTTCGGGTGACGGTAGTTCCGGTTCGTGGAATGGGGCGGGGGGGCGTTTTCCCCAGTACACATCATTCATCCAGGTCCTAAACCCAGTTCTGCCAACGCCCGATTAGAATCAGGACGCGATCATGCTTGAGGCAACAGCGGCAGCAGCTGCAGCAACAGGCGGCAGCAGGCATGAGCAAGCAGCAGAAGAAACACACAACACAGAGCAGCAGCATACGCAGTGGAAAGCCGCAGCAGGCCGCAGCAAACGGCAGCAGGTAGCGTTAAGTCGGGCCTGTCCCTCTACAGGGGGAATATTCAAAAATAGTCAAAAATAGTCTGGGGACGATTTCTCGAGTATTTTTCAGCATTGTTGGAATATATTTAATTATTTGTTTCCCTTCATTTTTCGTCCAACATCCCCCTGTACGGGGACAGACCCGACCTAAAGGTAGCCGTAAGCAAACGCAAACTGCAGAGAGCAGCAGTATACCAAATTGGCCGGGCGAAATCCATGGGGTTAGTCTTGGTCCTCTACAACGCTGGGATCAGCGCGTGCGAGAAAGGCGGGCAGTGGCAGCTTGCGATGTCGTTGCTCAGCGAGATGATGTCGAATGTGAAGTTAGAACCCAACGTGATTAGCTACAGCGCTGGGGTGAGCTCTTGCGAGAAGGGCAAGGAGTGGCAGCAGGCCCTGTCGCTGCTCAGCGGAATGCAGGAGGCCAACGTGGAGCCCAACGGGATTAGTTGCAATGCTGGGATCAGCGCGTGCGAGAAAGGGGAGCAGTGGCAGCAAGCTCTGGCAGTGCTGTGCGAATTCCTGGCGGCGAGCGTAGAGATCGACGTCACCTATCTTTTCTACTGTCAGAGGCAGCGCGTGCTGGAAGGGCGCTCGCTCCAGCTACTCATCCTCGGCCTGGCCAGCCCCAGCTCGACCCTGGGACGCTCCAAGACAGCCCGAGTGGGTCCCAAGCGAGCCCGAAGCCGGCCCAAGAGAGGCCCCACGCGGTCGAGGAGGGCTCGGGGACGACCTCAGGAGCCCGACGACGACCTCCCGAGTGCCCATGATAGGGCCCTGGTATGACTTCTGGACGGCACGAGGAGGCCCTGAAGACGCCCAGCCCACAGCAGATGCACCCGCACGCGGTCAGCTTCCGTTGGCCTGCGTCTGAACGCGGCGTCTCGTGCAAGAGTGGCGGCGGACGGCGTACACGCCAGTCGTTGAAAGCAGGTATTTTTGGATTCCCAGGTCCCAATCTGCTTGTGGCGCCTTCCTACTCCAAGGATCGACTGGTTTCCTTCTTCTCTCCTCCTCAGGGGGCGGGCGGAAGCCCAGTCTACTTCCGACGCCTTCCTCCTTCATGTTTCTACCCGCTTCTTCCGACCAGCGTGCACATGTACACATGCGACTGCTCGCTCCCCGAGAGGGCCCCCCAGAAGCAGCTCCATGGATTCCCCATGGGTTGTCGGCCGATTTTCGTGCCGTGCTTTTGCGATGCCGTGGGCCGTTTTCGCTCTCATCCCGTCGTGCAGCCCAAGGTCGGCACGAAGGCAGCGCGAGGGAAACCGACGGCACAACGCACACGGGAAGCACCGCTGAGCTCGGGCCCCGCCCCAAGAGGGCCCTACGAAGCCTCCAGAAGGCCCCCGGCGCCGCCCGTGGGCGTTCCCACGGGCCGCCACCGCGGTCGCGAGGCCGCCCCCCGTGCGCCCAGGCGGCCGCCCCCAGGAGGCCCAAGAGGGCCCCAAGATGGCGCAGGAGTCTCCCCCTCTTCCTCCTCGTCCTCGTCCTCCTCCTCGTCCTCCTCCTCCTCCTCCTCGTCCTCCTCCTCGTCCTCCTCCTTCTCCTCGTCCTCCTCCTTCTTCTCGTCCTCGTCCTCGTCCTCGTCCTCGTCCTCCTCCTTCTCCTCCGCCTCCTCCTCCTCCTCCTCCTCCTCCCTCCTCCTCTTCCTCCTCCTCCTCCTCCTCCTCCTCCTCCTCCTCCTCCTCCTCCTCCTCCTCCTCCTCCCCCCCTCCTCCTCCCCCCTTTTTACTTCTGGGCTTTTGGACGGGTTTCAGCGTTCTCGCCTTTTCGGATTCCCGACGCTGCAAGATGGCCCCAGATGTCCTCCAGATGGCCCCCTGACGGCCCAAGAGGCCCCCAAGAAGGACCCCAGACGGTCCAAGAGGGCCCCCAGGCGGCCAAGAGGGCCCCAAGACGGCCCGAGAGGCCCCCAAGGCAGCCCCAAGAGGGCCCCAAGAGGGGGAATTCGAACTGACATTTCGCGCCCTCCGCTTTAGGATGATCCCGGAAACCGCTGGCAGGCCCCCAACAGGTCCCCCAGGAGCTCCAGCAGGCCCCTACGAGGTCCAAATCAGGTCCCAGCAGGCCCCCGAGAGACCCCAAGACAATCCCCAACACCGTCTTCAAGAGGCTTAAGAGGGAAGATCCCACAGAGACCTTCGGGACCGCGCCAGCCATCCAGGAAAAGAAGCGCCCGTGCGGCTCTTAGTTTCGCTCCTTCTTTGGATCGGCTCCAGTCTGAATGGGCGACTCCTGGGGCCATGCTCCGCAGAACCCTGGAACTGCTCCTGTGCCCACTCAGCCTGCTCGCATCATCCGACCTCCTCGGGCGGCCACAGCCACCATCCATGTAGCATCGTTGGGACAAAAGGCCCACTGTTGCATCTTGGTATGGCCTCAAGGTCGCTCAAGATCATCCAGGGGCGGCCCTAAACGCCTTCATTACCCGAACGGCATCAGCACGAAGCATGAAGCAGGCAGCAGCAGCGGCAGCACACAGCAACAGCAAGCAGCAGCAGGTAGCGGTCATCAGCACGCACCACACAGACGTGGCCATGCCATCAGTAGCACCTTGCAGCCACAAGCACTACCAACACGCAGCAGCGGCAAACATTACCATCAGGCAACAGCGGCAGCAAGCAGTAGCTCGCAATAGCATGCCCCGAATGCGAGGGTCGAGCCCCACGTTGTAATTCCGGCATTTCGGAAGCATCTCTACCATCACGTGCCAGTGCGTGCAGATTTCTTGGACGTAGTCCACGGGTGAACCCTACTCAGTTATAACGCTGGGATCAGCGCGTGTGAGAAAAGCGGGCAGTGGCAGCATGCCCTGTCATTGCTCAGCGACATGCGGGAAGCAAAGTTGCAGCCCAACGTCATCAGCTACAGCGCTGGGATCAGCGCGTGCAGAGACGCCGAGCAGTGGCAGCATGCCCTGTCGCTGTTCAACGACATGCGTCAGGACAACTGGGAGCCCAACGTGTTAAGCTACAGTGCTGGGATCAGCTCGTTCGAGAAATGTGGGCAATGGCAGCGGGCTCTGGCGCTGCTCGACGAGATGCAGGAGGCGAGCCATGAGCCCGACGTCACCTGCTTCAACGCAGTGATCAGCGTGTGCGACAAAGGCTGGCAATGGCAGCGGGCTCTGGGGCTGCTTTGCGATATGTCGGAGGCGAAGCTGGAGCCTAACGTCATCAGCTACAGCGCTGTGATCAGCGCGAGCGAGAAAGGCGGTCGGTGGCAACTGGCGGTATCGCTGATGAGGGAGATGCGGGAGGTGAGGATTGAGCCAAACGAGATCAGCTACAGTGCCGGGATGTGCGCCTGCTGGAGAGGTGGGCGGTGGCAGTGGGCTCAGTCGTTGTTCAGCGAGATGTCCGAGGCGAAGGTGGAAGCCAGCGTCGTCTCTTCTCCCCCGTGGACGTCTCTGGAGGCCAGGTCCGAGACGGATCAGATGCGTCCGAAAACTTCCATTTTGGAGCCTCAGCCCTGGGACCTCGATCATGCATCTTCAGATGGAGTGCGGGCCAGAAGCGCGTCTTAATCGAAGACCAAACTTTGACCCGGCCAGTCCCGTCGACTGCTCGATGGCAGCTGGAGTATCCGAGAGGCGTCCTCTTGTGTGGCCGTGGTGGTTGTTATGTGGAGCGCTGATTGGGATCCAGTGAGCACTCTTGTGTACCCCCGAAACAGAATTCGACGGGCTGACTGGAATGCAGTCAGCCCTTTTGGAAATGGCCTCAACGGGCTGACTGGAATATTGTCTGAATTCCTCGAACGGGCTGGCAGAAATCCTGTCAGCTCTTTTTGGGCCCTCCATGCAAAAGGCCGGACTGGAATCCAGTCAGTCCTTGTGGGGGTCCTCCAAAGGCCCTCCAAAACCTGACTGGAGCTTACGTGGTATCTCTTACGGAGGAGTTCCCCCAATGTGATTCCCCCCTGGAGGACTCCCCCCAATGGGGTGCCTCCCTATGGGATTCCCCCCCTATGTGGCTCCGCCCATAGGGCTCGCCCATATGACTACTGCGACCGGTCGTGTCGGACGTCGATGGTGTGTCGAATAGCGTTCACGCGAAGGTGCTCACGTGCGGTGGATTGACTCGCGGGCGGCAGTCGCAATATCGATCGCAATAGCAGCGATGGCGGCGGTAGTGGTAGTGGAAGTACAAAGGAGAACCAGCAGTAGCGATGACATACATGATCGCAGTAACACTTGCAGTAATCGTAGTAGCAAAAGTCGTAGTGACAGTCATAGTAGGAGTGGGGTATGATAATGGGGAAGTGGCCATGAGGATGCCAATGACAGAGAAGAGCAACGAGTCGAGGGGACATGCGGTGGCGGAGTAGGGTTACGAAAGGAAAGATGGGGCCCGAGACACGTGCAGAACACTGGGGGGCGTTGCACAGGGGGATTACCTGAGCGGTTGTCTTGGGGGTGCACCGTGGATGTCCTCACCTTAGAATGGCTCCAACCTACTCCAGATTTCATAATAAAGGGAGGGGGGTCTCATTTCGGGGGGGGTCTCTTCCAGGCTATCTTGGAGGGCCTGGGGGGGTCTGGGGACGATGTTTTGGAGGGTTCTCCCACGGGGGGGGGTCTGAAATGGCTCGTCTTGGAGGGTCCAGACCCCCTCCCTTTTATGACGAAATCTGGAGTACTTTAGCCTTGATCGCAAGAGAGAACTTCGAGCACCAACAGAGCACCGAAACTCGAGGGCTTTCACGTGTCGGGCCGTGGGAGGCGCTTGTCCGACATGTTCGACTCGTTTTCGACACGCTTCCGGGTGCTCGAAATGGGTTCTGGGATGCGGTCCTTAAGCACGACGGGAGCAGCATGATCTTCACCCAATCTTTTCCAAGGTGCTTCGGCCGGTGCCCTTCGCCTTGTGTTCCCACATTTGGTTCGGGGGGGCCGCTTTCAAGAGGGGCCGCCGCTCTCGAGGTCCTCGAGGCCGCGAGGACCGGCCTCGAGATCCTCGAGATCCTCCGCACCCCCTCGAGGTCCTCGAGGACCGACCGAGATCCCCTCCTCGAGGCCCGCGCGATGCCCGCGACCCTCGCGGGCCTCCGGGGCCTCCGAGGCCCTGGAGGCCCTCGAGGCCTCGAGGAGCGGCCCCGAGCGCACGGGTGCAGGGCCTGGGGACCACCGCCGCCGCACGCCCGCGCGAGGCGGCGCGCCCCGTGTTGGTGTGGAGTGTGTGTGGCTCGCTCGTCGTTCCAACGGGGCCGCCGCCGCTGGGATCACCGCGGAGCGCCGCGTGTCTGCCAGCCGTCGCACGGGTGCAGGCCCGTGGACCGCCGCCGCCGCACGCCCCGCGCGGCGCGGCGCGCCACGCGCGGGCACCGGTCCGCACGGCCTCCCCAGGCCGCGGGATGGCTCGCGCCGGCGTCCTCCGGTGCGCTTCGTCGATCCTCGGCCCAGGCATGGCGCGGCGCACAGTGCCTCGGCCTTCAAGGCCGAGCAGATGTGCCACGTGCCGTGCCAGAGCGGCGCCCGCAGAGAGGCCAGGCACGGCGCGGTCGGGCCGAGTTGCACGAGTTCGAGGTCGGTTCGGGGAGGGCCGGGGGTACCCGGGTGTTCTTCGTGCCTGCTGGATGCTTTTGCGCACCTCCTCCTCCTCCTCCTCCTCCTCCTCCTCCTCCTCCTCCTCCTCCTGGTGCCCTTGGATGTTCTGCGCGTGCTGGCCGGGGGCGCGTCCCAGGATCTCGATGGAGGCTTTCCTGCCCCTGGTCCGACCGAATGGCACCGTACCGCGCTGGAGCGGCGCCCGGAGGGGAGTCCACACGCGATGCGGCACACGGGCCCCGCTCTCGCCAAAGATCACCTCTGCTGCGCCGCACGCGAGCCGTGGCGCGCCCGCGCCGCCCGACACGGGGCTCACCAGGGCGCGCCGCGTGCGCGCTGCTCGGCGGCTGGGCCCCCGCCTGAAGGGGCCCGCGGCCAGGGGGCCGCCCTTGCGTGTGCCGCACGCGCGCCGGCAGCACTCCTCGAGGCCGAGCGCAGGCTCTGGATGCCGACCGACGCGCGGGGCGCGGCCCGCGGGGTCCGAGGAGGAGGAGGAGGGGGAGGGGGAGGAGGAGGAGGAGGAGGAGGAGGAGGAGGAGGAGGAGGAGGAGGAGGAGGAGGAGGAGGAGGAGGAGGAGGAGGAGGAGGAGGAGGAGGAGGAGGAGGAGGAGGAGGAGGAGGAGGAGGAGGAGGAGGAGGAGGAGGTTTGTCGGTTTTGGAGTCGCCAGTTTCGGCGGGAACGCTGGATTTCTGGGGTCCTGGCGCGCCGCCCCGTCGAGGGTTCTGATGTTCCAACCCGCTCGAGCTCTGACCGCCAGAAAGAGTTTCGAGCACCAGGGCAGTACCGAAATTTTGGAAGGTTTCCATGCGTCGGGCCCTGGGAGGCGACACTCGTTCGACACTCGTTCGACACTGCTTGACACTTCTCTGGGCGCTCGAAAGTATTTCTGCGATGTGGTCCGTAAGTACGACGGCCTCGCAGGCCTAGAGGTTGTTACCAACACCAATATCGGCGGTGTTCCTCCACCGTGGGAAGATGATCCCGATCTCGGTGATGGTGGTAACATTCTGGCTTCCAAGGTGACCGAAATATTACCACCAACACCGAGATCTAGGATCATCGTCCTCCTGTGGAGGCACCCCCCTGCGTTGGTGTTGGTGCCCATTTCCAGGCCTCCAAGACGGGAGCAACACAAGTACGACGGGAGCAACTCAGGAGGAGAAACAGCACACAGACACAATTCATCGTCGATTCCTTGGAAAAATAGGGAGAACTATGGGAAGTGGGGGGGGGGGAAGACGGAAACCCAGAACATGTGGGAACAGATGGGGAGTCTGTTTATCTGTGTGTGTATTTATTCGTGTGTCCTCGGGCCCCTTCCGCAACACAAGCCGAGGGCGGAGCCTGCGCTTGCTCTCGGGGGGGGGGAGGGGGCGCACCTCTGGCACGGGCGAGCGAGGGCGGCGTGGACCAGCGCACGGCGCACGGCGCGCGGCCGCGTGGCCAAGTCGTAGGCATCGAACTGGCTCGGGCCAAGTCGTAGACACCCACACCCATAGGCCCATAGGTGGGACGGACGGGGGCTATGGGTGCGTGTTGTCGGATGGGGGTCCCCGCTCGAAAGGAAGCACCCCCGCAGGATCCGACAACCCGCACCCATACCCATAGCCAGTGCTCCTCCCAGCATTCCCCCTGTGGGTATGGGTGTGTGTGCTGCTCGTTCGTCATGAGCTTAAGTCGGGCCTGTCCCTCTGCAGGAGGACTGTTCAAGAATAGTCAAAACAAATCGTCTGGGGATCATTCGTGGAGCATTTGTCGACCATTCTGGAGCATCCTGGGGGTGCTTTTTATGCTTGGTCCAACATCCGCCTGCAGGGGGACGTGCCCGACCTGATCGGACATGCCCGACCTAATCTGCATCACCCGACGGTTGACGGGTCGGGAGCAGGGGCCTCGGCTCTCTGGAAGTGGCGCTGCCGTCCCCCCGTCGCTGTTCGCACTCGCTCGGCCGGCTCTTTGGCCGACGGGCCTGGCCAGGACGCCCCGCATAAAACGACGCGAAGATCGGGACGCAATCGGATCGGGATAACTCGAAATCTCTGAGAATCGGCGGGTTTGGAGGATGTATTGGGCGCCGCGGCCGCTCCAGAGCGTTCCGGAACGCTCTGAGAGCGCTCCAGAACGCTCTGGAGCGATTTATCCCGATCCTAGCCCTGTTTTACCGCAGGCAGTCTCGCGGTGCGGAATTGCAGGCACACCCGCGGGCAGCCCATTCCCAATGGCAGCAGTGCCCTCGGCACGTCGCACCAGGAGTCTCGGCAGTGCACGGCTTCGTCTCAAACCAGCGAACGACAGTGAAGCAACATCTCACGACGCGGGGTGAAGCTCGCAAGACGGCACGAGACAGCTCAAAGAGAAGCCCACGACAACCCCCGAGGACTTCTAGAGGACACCAGAAGTTCCAGGAGAACCTTCGGGCAGATTACACGGCCACCTGGGTGCCTCCCAGTGCAGGCTAAGAAGGCTGCATGATGGACCCCGCAGCCGCAGAGAGAACCAAATGTTGCCCCAAGACGCCCCAAGAAGGCTCGAAAAGTCCCAAGAGTTTTCTGATAGTGTCTCGATATTTTTTAGTAGTATTAGGGAATAGCAGAGTTGCCAGTAACAGAGTCAGAAGTACCAGCCACGATCAGCCAGCAGCAGTCAGCAGCAGCAAGCAACCACAGCGAGCAAGCGGCCGCAGCGATAGGCAGCATCAGCACGCTTCAGCAGCAAATTGCGGCCTGAAACAGCAAGCGATCAGCACGCAAGCACCGTCAGGCAGCAGCCACAAGCCTTTGCATGCGAGTGCACGTTCGCCCAAGCCAGCTGCGACGCTGGGATTAGCGCCCGCGAAGGTTTGTCAATGACCGTGGGTTCTGGCGCTCTTCGGGGAGACGTGAGAGGCGAACAATGTAATCCGGTGTCATTGTCTCTACATTTGTTCACCTCTTGCCTGTGGGAAAGGTCCCTTCACCGAGTCAGTCCTGGGGCCCTTGGCAGCAGCTCAGACACTCCACTGGACCTCCAGACTGCCCCTGCGGACCCCAGCCACCCGTGACACTTCAAGCGGACACCAGCGGGCCCCAGCTTATGAGCTCTCCAAGACCACCCAGGCTATCCCGCAATTATCCGAGAGGCGTTCGAGAGGCCCTGGAGGATTCCCGCAGAGGCTCCCGAAGAGGCCAGAAGCCCAGCTAAGCTAATGTGATGGAGCATCATGTCATAACACAAGTGGCTCTCCATGGCTCTCGGCCCCAGATGGCTTCAGGAGCGGTCTCCGCGGGCGCCAGAAGGCCCCTATAGGCCGTCCGAGAGGGCCCCAGGCGGCCTCAGGAGGGCCCCAAGGCTGCCCACGAGGGCTCTCGGAGGATCCCGGCTGGGTCCCAGGAGCGCGCCAGGGCGGGCCGGCCCAGGCGACCCCGGCGCCAGGGCGGCCGAAGGGCCCACGCGTCCGTCTCCCCGGGTGCTGCGTGGTGCCGTGCAAGCTCCGCTCCCCGCTCCCCCCCCCCCCCTGGCGCGCGGGTGCCCACGCGTAGGGGGCCACATGCGAACCCTACTCCTACCCCCCACGATTTCTGAGGGGGAGGGTGCGGTTCACTCCGCTCGGGAGCTCCCGAACGAAGTGAGCCCCGCCCTCCCCCTCAGAAATCGTGGGGGGTAGGGGTAGGGTTCGCATGTGGTCCCCTACACGCGGGCAGCAGGTCCACGGGCCAGCCCGAAGCAGCTGCGGTGCTGGGGTCAATGCGCCAGCGACTGCGAGAGCGGCAGTCAAAACTGCAAGCTTCTGTCGGCGGCGCCATATATATATATATATATCTATTTGTATATATATTTATTTATATATCTATATCTGTTTGTATATATATATATATCACAGCAGAAGGATGAAGAGTACGAGAAGAAGAGGACTCTCAGGATGAAGCTCTGTGCATCGATCACGAAGGCCAGAACGGTTGTAGGTGTTGCAACCTACGGGCCAACATTGGTTAGCTACAGCGCTGGGATGCGCGCGTGCGAGACTGGCGGGCGCTGGCAACGGGCGTTGTTGCTGCTCGGCGAGATTAGGGAGGTGAAGCTGGAGTCCGGCGTCTTCTGCTGCAACGCTGGCATCAGCGCGTGCGAGAGAAGTTGGCAGTGGCAGCTTCCGCTGATGCTTCTCAGAGATATGTCGGAGACGCAGCAGGAGCCGGACTTCTTCACCTACAGCGCTGTCGCAAGAGCGTGCGAGGAAGGACGGCCTTGGCAGCAAGCGCTGTCGCTCTACGTCGAGATGCGGGAGGCAAAGTTGCAGGCCGACGCCATCAGCTTCCGTTCTGTCATCAGCGCGTGCGAGTCGGGCGGTCAGTGGCAGCAGGCGCTGACGTTGTTCACGTTGCTCAGTGAGCCCGGTTTCATCTCAGATCTGATTGAGTGCCAACTGCTTGCGAAAAGGACGTCGGTGGACCGGCCTGTCCCCGCCCCCCGGCCCAAGAGGCTTCCAAGACGAGCCCCGCGGCATTCCACGAGGCGCTCCAGAGACCCCCAAAGGGCCCAAAGAGAGACCTTAAGTGGGGGCCGACACAGAAACAGGTTGAACGATCAAAGTGCCGAGGTAATCTTTTTCATCAGGGCCAGATCTTTTAGTCCAGGGTGACTCCAGGAAGGCTTCACAGCCCCCCCGAGTGCGAGGTAGCCAATGATGCGCCCCAGACAGCTCAAGACAGCGCCAGAAGCCTTTGGCACCCCAAGACGTCGCCCAGAGAGCGCCGAGACGACCCCTGCGGTACAGGGCGCCAGCGCTCGTGGGTGGGACACACATCCATATCCTCTTAATTCCTTCCTGGTGCGACTCTGGACATGGGCCACGATGGCAACAGCGGCCGCTCTGGCCACTGCGCCCCCTTTCCAGCGAAAAACGAGGGTGGCCCCCTCACGCTCTCCAACCACAGAACACCTGCGGACAAACACACATTGCCAGCGTGTGCAGTGACTGTGGGCCACTGACTGGCCCACAGAGCGGAAAGCCCGCAGACTCCTTAGCGACCCCCCCGGAGTTCGAGAGAGAGAGAGTCGGACGTCGAAGCGAAAGACCAGCAGACTCGGAAGTTCGGAACGACTGGCCACCGGATCTTCTCCTCTGCAAGCCGTGAGGCAGGACCGAGTGGGCCAACAGTTTTTGATCCGCGGGTCGAGAGCGAGCCCCTTCCGGTCGAAGCTGAGCGGGCCGCGCACAGCTTTAATGACAGAGGGAGGAAAACAGAAGGAGGGGCCTCACGTCAAGGCCAGGACCGAGTGGTCCAGCAGCCAAAAAAGCCCACGATGTGGAGGTCGCGCCCCGTGAGCGACCTCCCCGAAGCAAACGTGAGGCCGAGGATGTTCGCCGCACCACGCGGCGGGCAGCTGGCTCAGCCCGGGCCGCGGGCGCCCGGAGGGCGCGAGGTGCTGAGGCCAGAGGACGAGCCCGCCCGAGGGACAAGGGGAACAGAGGCGCAGCCTGTATCGTGTGGGAGGACACAGAGGCTGCGCCCCCCTTTTCCTCCCCCATCTCTGGTCAATTCAGGCTTCGCGCGGCCCGCTCAGCTTCGACCGGAAGAGGTGCGCTGTCGACCCGCGAATCAAAAGAAGTGGGGGGGCACTGGGCTTACCAGGATGACCACCACATTTTGGCGTCGGCGGCGAGGCAGGGGTCGTCTGCGCTGGCGGAAAGGCCTAAACGGGGGTGCCGTTGAAGCGAATTGTGCCACCATGCAGGAGGGGGGAAGAGGCGGAGGACGCGGCCAGGGATGACCACCACAAGCTTCCGCTACGACAGGCAGCGTATAGGCTCGAGAGCCCGGTCGTTGGAGGCACTCGGCACCGTAGTACGGCGAGCTGTGCGTGTTACCCGAGCCTAGCCACCTGGCTCTGCAGCACCTGGACGTACCTGGACGCACCTGGACGCACCTCGTCCTTCCTTCTCCTCCTCCTCGTTCTCCTCCTCCTCCTCCTCCTCCTCCTCCTCCACCTCCACCTCCTCCTCCTCCTCCCTTTCCTCCTCCTCTTCCTCCTCGTCCTCCTCCCTTTCCTCCTCCTCTACCTCCACCTCCACCCCCACCTCCACCTCCACCCTCTCCTCCTCCTCCTCTTCTTCCTCCTCCTCCTCCTCTTCTTCTTCCTCCTCCTCCTCCTCCTTCTCCTCCTCCCCCCCCGCGGCCCTCTGCCTGGACGCACCTGGACGCGACGTGCTCGGGCCGCAGCAGCCGCCCCCCTGGAGAGAGATCTCTGCGCCGTCGGAGGTGTGGCCGCCCTCTGCCCCTGGGCCTCCCAGACAGGGTCAAGTCGGGCGTGTCCCTCTACAGAGACGGGGGTGGACAGAACCCCCAACAGTGACACGTCGATTAGTGAATTGTCCGTTTTCGGTTCTCGAGAGGGCGCCGTGGCCGTTTTTTTCCAGGCTTGCGCCCGCCAGGTTTGGGCCTCAGGCCGTTTTCACTAAACCACGTTTTACTAAAGGGGGGTCTGTCCATCCCCGACAGAGGGAATGTTCAGACAACAGTCAACAACAGTATTCAGGGGACGCTGCTTTGATTACTCAGTTGATACTTGCTTGCTATGTTTGGACTCTGTTTGATGTCTCTCCCCAAACTCCGCCTGCAGGGGGACCTGCCCGACCCAAAGATAGGGTCGGAACCGAAGGGGTCGGTGGCTCGCGCCGCACCGCCGATGCATCGAGGGGGTGCGGCTCGGTGTGGAGCCCGATTCTTGCCGCGCCGGTGCCGGCGATGCAGCGGCGATGCAGCGGTGATGCCTCGCCGATGCATCGGCGCGATGCACGGGCGATTCATGGGCGATCCTCCGACCCCATCGGTTCGGACCCCGGCCGGGAGGCCTCTGCTTCCCTCCTTCTGCTCCGCGGCCTCCCTGCAATTCCTTCCCCCACTCTCTTGGGCATCGCTCGGACGTGTGCACTGTTCTTTTGGCGAGGATTATCGAGGAGCATCCTTGATCATGTGGCGAACAACCACGCAAGACACCGAAAAAAACACAGGGAATGGACGTCCGAGCGATGGCCAGCTCTCGCGCGGAGCTCAGTGAGCTGCTCAGTGCCACTGAGCTCCTCGACCGACCTACGCGTTCGCCGGGTCCGCAACGAGAAGTGTTACTCGGGGCTCAGGAGACGGGGGTCAATGCAGACAGGGGCCAGTCAGATCCTGCAGGGCCAGGGCTGCGCTGACCCAGGGTAGCGTGCAGGATCCTGTAGGATTCTGCAGGATCCTGCAGGATCCTGCGCGGCCTGACTGTCACCACCCACCAAACCACCCCAACCCAACCCGAAGGCCTCAAATTGCCCTCCATTTCCGGTTGGGGGGGGTCGGGGAACACTGAAAAAACACATATGGAACCCGTACCCCCCCCGAACCCGAAATTGGGGTCTTCGGGTTGGGTTGGGGTGGTCTGGTAGGTACTCAGACTGACCCGGGTTTGCACTGACCTGGGTCAGGAGATCCACGAGTTGCCTCAGCCTCAGAAGCTGGCTGCTCGCTAATCTCTTTGAGCTCCCTGGCCTCGGTCTGCAGCCCGCAGGCCACTGACCCGCTCGTCTCCTGCCCCCGCTCTGCTTGCCGCCAGTAGCGACCAGGCACGTGACGACGGCACGGAGAGCATGCTCGTTAGATAGTAAGTCACGGAAGCGTCCGCTCGTCTAGCATTGATTGTATATCGGCGAATGAAGTCCAATAGCGTCCAATGGCGCCCATTCGCGCCCAACAGTGCCACATGAAGGAGATACATGACGTCCGCTTTGCGAGCTATTTGGCGCGCTGTCGGACGCGCTATTGGGCGCCATGGGTACGACCAAAAGCTTTCGTGATTTGCTTTCCATTATTGAAGGTTCGTCAAACTGCTTGCGGAATTTGCACAATGAGACTTGGCCAATCGTTTTGGCCAGGTTGTGGATTGCAGCGTGATGCGCACGAACTGTGGCTAAGGCCTCTTCAGGGGCTTGGTCCGAATGAGGGTGCCGAACGGTCTTGCACTGTATCTCGGTGCGTGGCTAAGCGGGCTTCCGCGGTGCGGATTCTTGTTAACTTCTCAGTTCTAAAGAATAGTGATGGTTTATAGTTGATTCCTCCTGTTCAGCGTGTAGTGTTTTTTCATTTGAAGTGCCCCCCAGGATTCGCACCTTGGCTTTCACGAGAGATTTGTTTCTGCTGTTGCTGGCTTCATCAGCAAAGGCTCCCGCCTGAGATTTCCTCACAGCTTGTTCAGGACTCGCGCCCTCGCTTGAGGCGTTCTTCCAATTTGCCCAGGGGTCGCGCTCTCGCTTGGGACTTCCTGGTACTTCACGAAAAAACTTGTCTGCAAGGTTTTTTGCTCTACTGTATCCCTGTCCCTCTATCCCTACCTCTGTCTCTATTCCTTGCGTCCTTGTGCCTATCCTATACCCCTATCCCCATCGCCGTCCCCTGTCCAGGTCCCCCCTCCCTATCCCTGTCCCTCTCCCTGCATCCCTAGCCCTTTGTCCCTATCGCTTTCCGTATCTCTATCCCTATCCTCCTCCGTTGCGGCCCTCCATCGTGGCCCCCCATCGTAGCCCCCCGTCGTGGCCCCCATCTTAACCGTGTAAAGCTGTTCAGGGTCGTCTGCCGTAAGGGTGTCATTTATTCGGGCGTCGCGCCCTCGATCCTCCGGAGTTGCACTCTCCCAGGACGTCCTCACAATTTACCGTGGAATCGCCCTCTCGTCTGCGTCTGTTCACCATCTACGAAGCTTGCTGCAACGCCCCGCCTAGGCCCGACCCGAGGTTCGGGTCCGCCCGCTCGCCTGCTCGGAAGCTCGCCCCGCGCGCCTGACTGTCTCTCCCGGCCCGCCCGGTTGGGGTCCGTCCGCCCGGTCCGCCCGTCACGGTCCCGCTCGCCCCGACCCGCCCGTCAGAGAGCCCGCCCGCCCGCCCTCGCCTGTGCTGTGAGTCACCAGCCACCAAACCACCCCAACCCAACCCGAAGGCCCAAACTTGCCCTCGGTTTCCAGTGGGGGGGGGGTCGGGGAACATCGAGAAAACGCATGGAACCCGTACCCCCCCCAACCCGAAATTCGGGTCAGATTCGGATCTTCGGGTGGGGTTGGGGTGGTCTGGTAGGTAGTCCGTGAGGGCCTGCGGGCGGCCGTCGCTGCCCTCGGGGCCCGCGATCCTCGACCCCTCGGAGCCCCGAGCGGAGCAGGAGCGACTGCCCAGGCAGGGACCTCCAGAGCTCCCCGCGGACTTCTCCTGGTTTTCGGCGCTGGGCCGCCGGCGCGCTCCGCGCGCCCCCGAGGGGGAGTCTGGCGCGCAGAGCCCAGGGAGAGCGCGCTGACGTTTGTGCGGGCTCGCTCTCCTGCGCCAATCATCAGGAGGGGTACAAGAACACACAGACACAATCAATCGTCGATTCCCCAGCAAATATGGGGAAATATGGGAAGTGGGGGGGAAGACAAA